GAGTAACTAGCTCACTAAAATAAAGAAAACAATTGCCAAAATGAGGAATAAAATCGGTAGTGGTCAGCGTGTTTTGAAACTACACCAATACCTGACCAGATGGGATGTGGAGGTGCGGGTTAAACTTCTCGAGGGACTACCCCACATGGAATCAGGTCCTCGGATAACCGTATTACATCACTAGTTCTTGCTTACCCTACATCATTCTGCATTTAATCTGTTGTGCCCTGATTACTGTTGTTCCTGATTACTTAATCTCTACCTCCCTACTTACTTACCGTTTTTTCCTTAGACCATAGCCTAGATCTTAGCTGTGGTGCATTTCCTCCATATCTCTACACTAAGAATCAGATAACCATTGCACACTATCATAATCACCGTCTTTGGCATCTTCTACAAGACTACGAGCCACTGAAGAAGTCCTGACTGCAGTGAAAAGGTGCTTATTTCTGTCTACTTATCTGTTTAATTCTCCTTCTTCAACATGACCTTTACCGTGCAGTCACGCACGCCCTAAATATCCACCTACAAGTCAAGGCTGAAAGGAATGCAACAGAACTCACCCAGCATCTCAACCATCTGGCAGCCCAAAACACAACTTGATTAGTTCAACTCCATAATTAGACCAAGGAATGTCTAGACACTACGCTATGCCTTAAATCCCTACGATGTGAGTACTGTCTATATTTTTCTGATAGAGCAACGGGATTGATGATCCACTGGCTACCTTAATATAGTCCTTTCGTTATTTTCGCAACTCCCTACCTTGCAACTCACAAATAGCTCCAACTGTATCGCCCCAGTCTATTAAGTAAGATTGTATAGTGCTCATCTGAGTTTGATTGGTGACTGAAACTGCTTTAATTCTTTGCATACTCCGCCCCCCCCCCAAACATGGCAACGCCAAGCTGCACCGAAAACAAGCAAATGAGTATGCTCGTGAACTGGTAGCATACGGCGACAAAAGTCCCGAATGAAAATATTCGCAAAGACATTCCTATTGCAACCCTGTAAAAACCCAAAGCATTGACAGCCTCGCATGTTGCAATGTAAATATGATCCGTCCTTTTGTGGGCTCGGTACCACGAGAAATATACCTCATTATCAAGTAATCAGTCCTGCATCTTTGAGCAACGACCGCATATTGATAGAAGGAAATATGAGGTTCTTTATCCAGCTGACGAGGCCAATTTGTGTTAAAACGTTTATTGATGACTCGTTTCATTTGGATAAAAGCAACAGACTGCGACTTGTGCGCGGTGTCCAGGATAATTTGTCAAAGAATCGTTAAATGTCACTTTTCTGATCATGTTCCCCACCGAACCTTTCGTGGAATAATCCAGTGAGGTTGTAGTGTCTATCTATGTTGCTTCGGTTGCTGTAAGCACAGCGTTCAACGATCAAAAGTGAAGCGAAACCAGAACGGCGCACTGCGACCATTTTTATTCTCTGAGCACTCATAAAGGACGAACTTTGGTTCAGCATGTTTTGTAGACAAACAGAGGATGCCTACCCAGTAACACATCACCTACGGTAACCTTTTGACGATAAACAGTAGGGAACAAATGCTCTTTCGCTGGCAGACGACAAATGCTCATCGAGAAAGTCATCAAATACGCTGTCGTTAAGTCTATGACCGATCACGATACACTCTAGGCGCGTGCAATCCCGTCGGCGTTGCACCATCATACATGTGCCCAGTGGGCAGAATAATCCGGTTAGCATTCACAAGCTACTCTATTGCTTGATGATTGTGAGATCTATATGACTAGACATATCAGCTACCTGTTGGTGTCATTGGTTGGAACAGTCATGTAGCTAGATGAGAATGTTGGCAAGCAGCGCCCTGTATCCTGCGCGATTTGCCTCGCTCACATGATCTCTCACCCCCTAAACATAGCACCGTAAGTCCAGATCGGTGAAGCGATAGCTACGCCGTTAACCTCTGATACCATATGTGTGAAAAGCATAGGGAAAAAGTCACCAGACGCCTCGACCATGCTCGAAGCCGCGTTTCACTACATGCATGTTGACTACGCAATGGTCTGTCAGCACCCTGACGTGCAGATGCGGATTCGGCAGATAACGGAAATGCCCTGCCCTCCGATTTCTTCCAGAATTGGCACTTAAGATTACACTCTGCAAATAAGCGTACTGACGATGCCACGTCGCATAGTGGCGAAGTGTTTGCAAACAAATTACCAAGCTCGACGAACAAATGAGCAACTGAACCGTTAACCCGAGCTATCGGTGCTCCGAAACATTGTAAATACAACGGAGTAACAGTGTCCAGCAGAGAGAATGTGTGACAGGGGGCCGGGTCGAAAGAGCTATCGCAGTCGACTGCTGGTTACCTCACTTGCAATTGTTATGCGCATCTCGCGTCCAACGAAAAGTTTAGTGTGATGGTTGACTCACACAACAATCGCCATATTACACCCAGTTGAAAAATATCAAGGTTGCTATGTGAAGGCAATGGTGGTGGAAGCGGAATGCACCCAATCGAGATTACAATAGGGAAATGCTTATCTGGTACCCCGTTCACGTGTGCTGCATATTTCCACACAACCAAGACTTAGCGATCAGCTCGGTGAAAGCCCGAAAGAGTTGGGAACCAGCACAAGATTGTAGACATTAGTGTTGAAAAAAGTTAGGGGAGATACGTAACTGGCTAGCCGAACAACCTCCTCGTGGTGCCAGCTGGGTGGTTCGGGTTTAACACGTTCCAGCAAACAGTTCGGCGGCAGTGTTCCAGGACGTGGTGGGTTTTCGCCTGGCAAACGTTCTTTATACAAAAAGCCACAAATGTTTGCATATCAACACCGCGACCGGCGGATGTAACTCGCCACAAACTAAATTCACTACCCCGTGGATATCCGGAAAATGCTATCCAACCCCTAGACTTCAATCGTTTATCCTCACATTCCTGAAGATAACAAAACGTCAAAAATGCTGCAGCACATTCACAAATATGCTACACAGCTACATTCATACACAATTGAGTTGGCCGCATACGGTTTCGGATTTGCCTGTCACAATTAGATACGTACGAGGGTCATTCAGTAAATAAAGTGAATTTTTCGGTATAAGGACTTCTAATACAGAAAGAAGCTTACTTTTTTATTTTTGTTGTTTTACTTCTTTTTCATCTAGATGTAATTTCTTTTGCAGATTGAAAAAAACTTTGAGAGTTTTAGCGATTAACAAAGATGGCCGACCAAGAAGCATGCTCCAGGATTGAACAGCGGTCAGTTATCTAGTTTTTGGTTGCTGAAGAGTGCAAACCAGTTGAAATTCATAGGAGAATGTCAACTGTGTATGGTGCCACGTTTCAGCCGAAAAATGTCTACAAGTGGGCAAAACTGTTTAAAGAAGGATGGAGCAGTGTTGAGGATGAAGACAGGCCTGGGAGGCCTACAGAAGCAAGGTCTCCTGAGGTGATCGAATCAGTCAATGACCTCATTCAGTCCGACAGAAAGGTGACAGTGGATGACATTGCAAGGACTTTGAGCTTATCTGTTGGGACAGTACACAAAATTGTCCAGGACGACCTTGGCTACTCGAAGGTCAGCTGCCGGTGGGTGCCAAAGATGCTTACTGCAGAGCACAAACAGAGTTGTGACAGCAGTGTCTCTGCCGCTATGAGAAGGATGATGATGAGTTTCTGAAGAAGGTGGTCACATGTGACTAGACATGGTTTTGCCAATATGAGCCTGAGTCCAAACATCAGTACATGGAGTGGAAGCACGTAGGCTCTCCAGTGAAGAAGAAGTTCAAGTCCCAGCGGTCCACGAGGAAAGTGATGCCTACCGTTTTTGGGGATATGCAAGGCCCAATCACCATTTCATTCCTTGAGAAAGGAAGCACTGTGAACAGTGACAACTACTGTGAACTGCTGAGGCAGGTCAAACAAACGCAGGGGTCATCAGTCAGAAGGAGTCATCTTGCATCATGACAACGCAAGGCCGCACACAGCAGCCCGAACGGTGCAGACCATCAATGAGCTGGGCTGAGAGCTGCTCCCTCATCCTCCTTACAGCTCAGACCTCGTCCCTTCAGACTTTCACCAGTTTGGTCCATTGAAAGCATTCACGAGGGGCACGAAATTTGAAAGTGACGATGAAGTCAAAAGTGTTGTGAGCGACTGGTTGAGACATCAGTCCAAAGATTTTTACGCTGAGGGAATATGGAAGCTTGTGCACAGATGGGAAAGTGTGTGAGAGTGCTGGGAGACTACGTAGAAAAATAAAAAAGTAAGCTTCTATCTGCATTAGAAGTCCTTATACCGAAAAATTCACCTTATTTATTGAATGATCCTCGTATATACACCCATACGTTTTTGATCACAACATGTTATCTTAACATGTAAACGTGTACGTCGCATTGTCAAGAATAAAAACTTACTTATTTATTTGTGGAAGTAACTATAGTTCGCAAGCACAAATAATTAACCTACAAAGTAAGAGATGAATCGCGCGAAAGAGAGATAGCGGATTGCAAACAACACTACATCCAACAGCATAAGTTACTGCAACGATGCCGAGGCATGCGAGTGCTTTGGTGCGCTCTAGCGTGCATTGACTGGAAGACCATTCAGAGGGTAGTGGAAGTAAGCAAAGGTAAGAAAGATGCGTGCTGGGTGTAAAAGATGTCGAGATCCCGCAAGAGGTTCTCCATGCGGTGAAAAGTGGAATGAATAGAAAAATGGTCAAAGTAATCGTAAATTGTCAGCTGTACGCCGTAACGGCGCTTCGCTGCCACGTGACCACCACCAGTCCTGTGTGGGCTGTGTATATCGCGAGGACGCCCGCCCCTGTGCGGATTCGAACCGGTGACCGTATGCTTGCAAACCAGACGCGCATACCACTCGGCCACCGGCCGACGAAAAGTGGTCAAGAACGCAGGCGAAAGAAAGTGATCACTTGATTCACGATCAGCTCTCTTCGTTGTACGTCCGCGATGTGAATCGATATTTTCTCATAAATAAAGATAAAGCAGTCCAGAGGAATCACCAATTATTGTATTTCGTGAGACTAGTTTGTTTGAGTTGGAGAACAGAACGTCCACGAAAAGTACGGAGTAAACAAACAGTTCGATCTTCGGAATGGGAAACAAAATGTCGTAAAATATAGGTGCAAGATAGAAAGAACAGGCATTGATTAGCCCTAGGCAGATGTGCGGATACGAGGGGGGCCTGAACGAGACACAGATACATGAAACGAATGAAGATCAAGCTTCTTGTGGAAGTCCGCACATTTCGCACTCTGTCGAAGTCAGCCGATTGTGGAAAGTACAATGGGCACAGGCCCAGAAGTCGGTTTCGTTGGCAGGACGCGTGGGTGTACCAGAATCCAGTTGGTTGAGTGAACTGGGGAGGATAGGCATCGTGTGCGCGTCGGAGCGTGGCTGAGGTGCGGGCACACGTGGACTCGGCGTCAATTCTATAAGGGGGAAAAAGCAGAGATTGGCGAAGAATACTATGGAAACAACCTGATTGAGTTGAAAAACAATGCAGAATTAGGTGAGATCCAAACGCTACCAGCAATACGCCATTAATTGCATCGATGTTCCGCTGTCAGTGCTTTGAGATGACAACAGGGTGCCGGAACCAAGACAAAAGCCAGATGCCTAGAACACTACACCACGGATTTCCGAAGTAAAATGAAAACTCAACATCATCCTCATAACGACAGTAACACAGCAGCGACAACAAATGATCGATGAGTGGAAGGGTAGTCTGCTTCATAAATACTCGACCAGGCTGAAAACGTGAGACTGCCTTGGATATTCAAAAACAACCATATACACTCTAGTTGCTTGGGGAAACGGTTAACATTGGCCACGGCCCCAGGTTCGGGTGGCTAGTAAGCTTATCGGTCACTTCAGAAGATGAGCAGCGTCATTTACAGCACTAGACGGTAATCGAACACGACTAGTGATTAGGTCCGAGTGGGAAACGCTCCGATATACAAATTGACCTGGGTGCTAACAGCAAAACCGTTATGCACGGTAGCGCCACGGATTATGGCAATGAGGTGAGGTTGGGAGACCATATACGCACAAGGGTGAGTGCAAAAAGTCGAAATTATGGGAACGAAGCGACGAAGAGGCAAACAAGCCGTCACGTGTGATGCACTGTAAAACATAGCAATTGGAATAACGAGTCCAGCAATTGTACTGGGAGAAGAGACGGAGGTGAAAATCATTTTGGAGACAGACGACTGCATCTGGCAACGGCCCTGGCCCCATTATAAAAGGTACGCGTTGGTTCTATGAAAGTATCACACGCGGCCCAGTTAAGTGGGATGGAACAAAGAGCTACCCGACTCGTTCCAAAGCCCTACAGCCAACAATAGCGAAACGGAAACAAGCCCACGTGAGATGTTCCTCATACTGCATGTGATGGAATCGCAACGATTCCTGATCATTAAGCTTAACTGCTTCCATCAATTGATCGAAATAGCGTTGAGGCATGAGTCAAGAGACGGATAACCGGCAGAAACCGCTACACCACAAACAACTGCTACCCGTAAATGATCTATAGTGACAAAGTGTCGGCCCTGTGGCCTCGAGCAGCTAACCGACTGTTTGGCGGAAAACGCCAGTGGAGTTCCTGTCACTGATCGCGAGCAGGGCGTATGGACTCAGACTAAGCACAGGTGATTTGTGCAAGGCCGCCTACAACTCCAACCACGTTCTGTATATCCGATAAAAATTTGAAGAGATAAATACACTGAATACGTGAGTGGAGACGGAGATTAGTTCAGAACTGAAGCACACGTTGCCAACAATTGTGAACGGTGCGCAGGTGAATCGATGGAGTCGCAAACGCGAGTAAAACAAAACCGGGCGATTGTAGTCGAAACGTGTAACATCAGGATGCAGGACCACTCTTGAAGAAGCACGCGCCGGACACACCCACAAGGTGGTGAGCTGTTTTATCATAAAGGATGTGCAAACCGTCACAACAAGAGACGAAAAAAACCCTGCAAACTGAACAGTGTGTCAGTGGCAAGTGATTCGACAACATTTGTGCCCAGTGCAAACAAGCGTAGCACATCCAACAGTGATGCAAGTGCAGTGCAGGCCAACACACCAACGAAGTGGGGTGGGTCAAGGCAGGCTAGATGGGGCGCACCGGCACCCGCACGGTCAGTCGAGGAGAGAACGCACACAGAAACGGCGAATGCACTGTACCGGCTTAACAATGTCGTTGAACTAGCCAATTTGAGCATATGTAAAGATTGCCCCATCTCTTCCGTGATACGAAGTTGTCTGAAGGGGAAGAACCACTGTGAATGCCAGCATCGATATTGCCTAATTGCTCATAGCAGAGAAGCGGATATATGGAGATGGTGTACAGCTCGTATTGGGCACTTGAACGCACAACATGCGTGCGCGGTATCAGAATGAAATAGTGGGGAAAGCATTCCGTCTTACAAACGTTTTGAGAGGTATACACTGCACTAACAGCTTGACAGGCGTCTGTAGGTGGCGCGAAGCAATGAAACAGGGAGCTAACATGGCGGTGGTGTATAAGACGATAAGGGAATGTAATTAATGGCTCAATCGCCGGAATCGAACCGCATAGCACACAAAGGTGAAAAAGCGATTAGTAATGTAGAGGCGAGATAGTGGTAGCGAAATAGAGCATAAGATTAAGAGTAGAGTAAACGAGGAAGCGAAAACGTTCGCGATGTGGTTAACAATATAAATGTGTCGATACAAATAAAAAGTGGTCGATTTTGGGTATAGACGGCATACGATGAGAAAACTAGGGAAAGTGACCCACCACCCGATACAGCTTTTGCCAGTTCCTGGATGGTAGCCCATGCAGGGGATTCTGAAGACCATTTAGTGACTGCCGCTTCGGCTATGCTTAATCGTTCAGCAGGTGAGAGGGAGGTAGAATGGTAGGCTTCCAGAACAGCAGAGAGCAAACCAGATAGTCCATGTGGATCACAGTCAGATGGATCGGTCAAGCGTAGGGGCAAACTGTCGTTGCCAGCAAGCCATGCCAACAGATGGAAGTTTGCGAGACACCCATAGAGTTGACGTGACTCGAAGGCGTTCAGATATCGAGCGAAGGCAGGAAAGTCCTGTGATGTTGGGAAATTGGGGGGATAAAAACGATAGTAATGGTTAGGAGAAAGAGTTGATGTGCATACCCACTGACGAGTATGAAACGAGGAAGTAGGCATAACTCTGGACGGTAATAATTTCGTATTAAAAGATAAGGGGTAAATTTCATCAACCGCCACTCGATCGATGACAGAAAACTTTGTTATCTGCAAGTCAGCCTTAGAGATAGGCTAGGTAAATATCTGCCAACAGCCTTATAAGGTGTGGGTCTCTCTAGGGCTGAAGTTTAAGAAGCTGACTGGGCGAATCACATTTTGCTAACTCTAGTCCGAAAGGATGAGTAACAAATTTCATGGACGATACGCAGTACCGAGGCTTTGTTACCGCGTAAACGCCAGCGGTCGCACGTAAGCCAAGGATACTGCGAGGGTCGCCCTACGCAGGCTCCAACCCGCGCCGTCACATTACAAGGCAACCTCGTTACCTTTAGGCTACGGGCCAGCAAAATCACTAAAGGATCGGGATAAGACCTTCGAGGAACCTAGAGTTGGAATTGGGAAAGACAAGATCTTCTTAGTGAACGCTGAATGCTGAAAAGAAAAAAGTTAGAAGATAGATGATTGTGTTTCTCCATCAACATATAATCAAGCACACATGTTGTATAGGGTCATGCATTGTGGCGCATTTGCTACGTATTACAGTAGCAAATGTAAGTATGGCAAAACATTCAAAGTTTGCAAAACAAGTGAGCACTCCGCAGTACAGGTGATATGTTCCGTATCACGAAACTATGATGGTTTGATGTACGCAGAAAGATGTCCCAAAGAAGCCACATGTGCTCGTTACTTTGCGTCGTTTGATACGCCGATGTGAATGTAGGCGGGAGTCCAAATGACCGCAGTGGAACAAAAGCGCATTCGTCGGGGTACAGAAAATGTGAAAGTAGGGTGGCATTCTAGTGAAAGCATTGTGCCAACAACAATGAACCTGTGTCGCACAACTAGGAAAGCCATTTCTAACTGGACATAATAGTAGATTAAAGTAAGGTTCCGCTGACATTCCGTAGTAAGTGAGGACCTGGTTATTGAAATGAGCACAGCGTCAACTGAAATGAAGGGTTGTAATTCAAGCGGATGGTAGACCGACTTGGAACTTATCAGATACTAAATGGATTCCAACTCAAGTGTTGCTTGCGCCGGCCCGTAGCCTGAAGTTAAAAAGTTTGGCTTGTAATCTGACGGCGCGGATTCCAGTCAGTGTAAGTGCAGGGCGACCCACGCAGTATCCTTATCCCACGTGCGATTGGTGATCGTAGCGAAACGTCAATACTGCGTACCAGCGTACTGCTAAAGCCTTTCCCTTTCTTTTCTCTTGCTTGCAGAGTACCGCAGTCTGACAACGAATGGGTAGTTCAGTGGGCCGCGGGTTCCAGTCTCAGTTGAACCAGTACCATTTAACGCATGTAAGCAGACAGAAAACAGATTATACAGCCTGAAATTGAAAATCACCAAAAGCGGGGGGTTCAGTTCTATACTATGCAATCTGCTTACAAAACAGGTCTGAGCCAAGCGTGCTATCCCAAGGACGTCAAAGTAAAAATATGAATAAGCAACAAACCTCCAGGAGAACACTGCTTGAGAATAAATGCATTGTATGTTGCTACCTTTGGAAGTCCATCGCGATGAGGCTGGACGTTAACGTGGTGTGATGATTTATGTGCCTTAGCGATCCATTGAGCTATTCTGGATAGTGTTTTTGTACCTTCAGAGCCATGCATACCAGATTGGTCAATGGTACGAGGCCAGGCAAACTCAGTCTCCTGGACCTCCAGGTTGGGGGTTGGAGTGATGGTGGCTCCTTACTTCAGAAAACGGACTTTGTAGTCCAGTGCAAAACACCCGCTGCGTTGCAGTCAGGATTTTGTAACAAAGGCTTTCGTTAGGAACCCTAACCGTTCTCCTCTAAACCTGCGCAAACTGACACTATCCTGCTTACGCAAAAGAACTCAGTGACTTTCCTTTTAAACAATCCCTTGATGCTCTGGTCGTCGCAGAGTATAATAAACGGCGCCCTATCTAATGCATCGAGCAGAGTAGATAGGGGTTTGAATGCTTTTGCTCAAGCCTTCCCGTCTTCTTATCCCCCTTCTGGCGCTTTTTCATCGTTAGCGTCCCGGTCCAATTTCACTTTTATCTTCCCATTTTCAATCCCAAATCCTTGGCCCTCCCCGACTTGTTTCAAAGATCATTTGTCCTCTAGTGTCAATACACAAGCAATCGCAGAATGCCGTTCCAGTCGTCCACAAGTCTATGTTCAACCAAGCGGAAAACGTCAATTCATCCGTTTCTCTTTGGAGTCCTTAATCCTCGTTAAGACCGGCATGACTCAACGTGCGCACTTTGTTACAGATTGGTAGCAGTTGCCCGAACACTAGAGACCCTATCGATCCATAGTTGCTACTTTTCGGAAACCTGCCTGCCGGATCCGAGTTCCGTGCTTACCCTGCGAACTCCAGATGCGACACATTTTCATCGCGCCTGTCTGGTGATGACGTAGCTTAAAATGCTGGTCAAGTCGGTGTGGGCATTTCTCTTAGCCCCCGGGCTGGACCTACCCTGATCGACTGGATTCTAGCCAGCAGCCGGATGTGCGCCGTTAGATTAGCTGGCTCGTTCCACGCTTCAAAATCGCGCGGGAACAAACGGTGCCTATTTGTCATTCGAACTACGCGCCCACAAGCTGCAGCACGAACTCGGTGAAAGATGAATTCTATCCCTAACTGAACGCGCTCCTTCGTTATAGAAATATGTATGGAGACCGTGGTGCTTGCCGGTGATCTAATCGCCCAACTGATGAGCTGCATCTAGGAGGCCAACAATGTGTGAACTCTCATAATGATAGCGATGAGCGGTTGCTACACCTGTGTGAAGACGCTGGTCTCTTTCTTGCTAGCAGTAATTTTCGACACAGTATTCGCAGAAGAGTGACTTTGCGCCCACCAGGTTCGGACTAGCCATGAATGCAAATCGATCCCATCGCGATCAGTTATAGCTGGAGAGACTGCGTCCAAAATTGTCGCTCAATTTGAAGCACCAGCGTAGACTCCGATCACGCTCTTGCGTGTGCCGACCATTCGTTATCGATGAAGTCATGGAGATCGTATCCACAGGATACGACTTAGAAGGTGTGGAGCTTCTCCCACGCGACTGGCTTCTTGACCACGACATTGCCATCATCTGTGACAACGCCCAAAAGTGTCAAGCGGCACTGGACCGATTAACACTGTCAACTGTTTTGAGCGACGCGAAATGCGAAGCCCTTCACCAAGATTGACAGGGACCCACCCATGCGCTGACCCTCGGTGGTGATAAGTATAAGTCGTTCAGAAATTCAACTACCTGGGCAGCTATATTAGCGCCCGTGAGATCGATGATAAGGCCACGAATCGTAAAGAAAAAGCCCGATGCGCTTTTGCCAATCTCCGCCATTTGCGGAGCCGACGCGACATCAATCTCGCCATGAACGGCAGATCTCACAATGCAGCCGTCTGTTCAACCCTCCTAAAAGGTTGCGAAACCTGGCCCATCAGATCGACAGATATAAAGAGGTTAGCTAAGTTCGACCATCGCTACCTTCGCAGCTTAGCTCATGTCTGGTGGAAGCACCGCGTGAGCAATGAATGTGCTCAACGTCGTCTATTGTTGCAGGAAGAGCGAGTGATCCGCTCAGCACTATTGTATTACGCACTAAGGTCCGATGGCCGGGCCACGTTTTGCGCATGCCAACACATTGACTCCTGCGACGTGTGTTGTTTGCGCGTCGAGGGTGTGCATAGAAGAAGATGAGGGGAGGTCAAGCAATGACTTAGTCAAAAGGAATAAAAAGCCTCACTTCGAAGTTGGTGTCGGTTGGTGTAGCCCGACTGTCTGGTTGGGGTTCAAAGGACGATGAACGCGTTTGGTTGGACACCCTCGCTGACATGGCTAGGAGCCGGCCCCAATGGCGTCTGGGCTGCGAGATTCTTTATCAATCCCCCTCTCCTTTAGATTCCCCCTCCAACCTGTTATGGCGACCACCACTCGATCGCGATTAGCCAAAAACAACCCTAAGGTTCTCTCCTATGAGTAATGATCCTATGCAGAAACTTGTCCATGGCGACCCCTTTTTGTCGATCCCTTGTGTGACCGTCTTAGACAGGCGTAACTGTATTACTTGATTTTTGTAGTGTTATGTTTAGTATCTTATCATTTTTGTATTGCAACACATTAGCTGAGGCGTGTTTCTCACCCTCAGCTAACGTGTACTGATGATGATGATGATGACCATTGGAAGTAACAGTGAGACACAGGTAGGCGCGATTCGACTATTATGACACAACTCACAGTCGGATGTATACAAGCGTCGTGGCCTGCGAAGTATTGCTCGCATATGGTGGAATGACCGAATGAAAGATACTGAAACTTGTTATCTAGTGCTTGAAAACACTCTTTATGGTGCATCACTGGTGCTCCTGTTGAAATCGATTCGGCTCCGCAAACAGAGTCATGTCTTTAGTTAGTTGATCGCAATTAAATTACAGGCCAACTACCAATTCGTTAAAACATCAGACGGCTGTTTCTTCCTCTCGGAACTTGTCAGTGGTACGCATTCCCTCGGTTCCGTTCAGGGAACCGAAACCATGACCGCTAGTTGCGTGCACCATCGTAGTGGAGGATAGGTTGGGTTATACCACAGAAAGATATCGATCCACGATGGTCAGCTATTATCTCCCATGGCTTAACATGCTGGCTAGTTGACATCTGCCTCTAGCGGTCATGGGTTCGATCCCCAGCAGGGGACCGAAAGAATGCATATCACTGACGAGCCCGAAGATGACGAGACGGCAGTCTATTGATGTGCCCGATTAATAGTTGGCCTATCCGGTTTGTGGGATAATTGCGAGGAACCGAATAAATCTCCCCAAATCCCTCTAGTCAGGACCAGTCATATTTTCCGCATGCTTGCAAGCAGACTGCTTGGACGTGCATTATCTTCCTATATCGCGTCGCTAGCAGCCAGTCAATGACATCGTAAAAGAGCTTGAAGAGACTCATCCAAAAATGAAGCCTGGTTGAAGTTTGTAGATTTCCTGCTTTTGGACATCAAGAGAGGCCACATCGCTGACTGGAGACACTTTTGCACACGACGCAAACACGGTCAGTGACGCAATTTTATTTGTTTCTCTAATTCTGATTCTTAACTACAACATCCGGTGATCTTATTTCCTGATCATTCATCTATCACTGCTATCAATATTGCCATTGCTTTGGCGACGTTGAAAAAGATAACTGGATCCACTGCACCTAGACAAGCAGGTCAAAGATGACAAGCTAATTTGGAAAAACCTGAAGGCACGCCTACATTCTCTCTCCATATTCCAGCTATGGAGCAATTTGAGTGAACTGCGTGTGGGAAATAAAGAGGAAAGGGTCCGAAGAAGCATCAGGTTTAGCTACTGACCTGAATTTGACCCAAATGTTCCCGATTCTCCACAGGGAACCGGTAATCAACAGGAATATCTGAGGGTATTTTGGCCATAGAATAGACAGGCTCGATGGGGAATGCCGAGGGCATGTCAATAAGAAGGTATTCAACTGGTAGAGGTCGGGCGACGCGAGTCACGCGGTTTCCGTACTTGTCCTTCATCTGAAACAGACCGGATTGGAAACATGAAAAAACGGACGGGCACTGCAGGGCGAGGGAAAGGACGAATGTTGGTGAGTCTCAGAGTGCAAAGAACAGTTATACTACCGATAGCCGAACATGAGATGTTTTGAGAGGGAATAATCATTACCGCAAAAATGTCTGTCCTATAAAACCGAGCAACATTCATTAGTGCAGTCAGTAAAAAATGTGCTATGACCCTATACGGTCACAGCAAACTGCCACAGAAACGAGTCCGATACACAACGAATCGGCAATGTGCTACAGTATGTACAAAGAATTCCACTGTGTGCCTAGGTGCTTTGTGTCGTACAAGTGAAAAAATGGTACACAATAGGTATTCTGGATCCTGTTACAACACCCACAATGAGTATCGAGCAGTTGAGTAGTTAAATTCCTAAAGTGTACGAAAACACAGTATGAAACGTTAAACCTTCACATTAACACGCACAAACGATGGCGATTTGTAGTTCAAGGTAAAATGCGCCGCCCCAATGGTAGTGCGGCATCTTAAGCGAGTCTCTGCGTATCGACGTTAACGTGTGGTTGGTATGAGAAAGCAGAGGGAGACGGTTTTCGGTGTATGATACGTGTCGCGAGGGGTCAAATAGGTGATTCCGTGGGCTGTGCAAGGTCTACCACAGGGCTTTGACATAATGCGAATAGCTAGAGTATGCCAAATCAGAAATCGAGGCAAATGAAAGAGGGATGGAGCTAGGATTTGTACAGAGAAAATTTGGTTTGTAGCGTATACGGTGCCAAATGGACAAGGAAAGCCATGCGGAACAGGAAATCGAGCATGGCTGCGACTCACAGTGTAGAAAACCTCGGGGACAAATTGTTCCTTCGTGGTCTCCCGGATGTATCCGAATTCGGGTGCATCATATGTGGGCACTAAAATGTTATCGCGTGCTAGGGCCATAGCCTGATTGGTGACCTGATACGCCTCGAAATGGATCTCATTTGATGAATCCCCAGTGACCACAACTGTGACGAACTTGGAGCCGAAACAGCCATCTGGACTGAAGGGGCACACATTCGGGAACAGATTCTGAAGATGAGCCGCGGTGACGCATTCCTCAGCGCTCAAGAAGAATGTGTCCTGGGGAATAATCGTAGTCACAAATAAGTGATTATGATGAGGAGTTGTGATAAAAGACGAGTGCATTCACTCAGTGCACTAAAGCGGATGGCACAATAAAAAAGAGAAAATGCAAGTAACACAGTGCACACAATGGATGGCATTATTGAATGACACACCTGTGGGTCACAAGCAAGGGGATCTGGAGTGGGTAGGTGTGAGGCGGGGATACCGATACTCTCCCCCGTTGCAGGACGACTACGTTAGCGGTACGTCGAATCGATTGCCGCAAGCAGGATAACATCCTCCAGCACCCTTGGACGGCAGACATTTTAACAAGAAACGATAAGCCACATGCCAGCAACGGACAGCTTACTTGAATTGGTAGAATGTAGGCAGACGAAAAAGAAGTGGTTTTGAGAAGCATATGGTTGGTGGCATCCGGTTTCGGATTTGCCTGTCACTGTGGCAAGCCACAGGAGGCCTGCGACTACAGATGGACCATGGGTGGCTTGCGCTGCACCAAACACGCACCCCATATCCAGTGGAAACCCGAAAGATTAAGACCGGGAGGCATGTGGATGGGAGCCACGTTTCAACAACGGAGCCGGCCCACACTCCTACACAGGCAAACACAAGCACGCTGTATTGGGGAATCAAGCGCACACACAAGGCGGTGGCTGGACAGTAGTCCGCTCCACACTGAGTGCATGGAACCGCTCTTTGAGTCTAGCACGGCCACAAGAACCGTGCACCCTGTCCCCTCCAGCAACGACCAACTGTCTCCTAGAGCCAATAGGGACGAAGCAGTGGGTAATAGACAGGTAGGCACCTTGTCAACATGCACATCAAGCGCAGCCACACCGGGGATATCAAGCAACAGCCAAACACTTGAAAGAAAGATAACCAAGAAAATAAATCGAATAATGCATAGGGAAACGCCGACATAAATCTTAAATTAATGAGCATATGAAATAAGTTATCTGCAAAAGAATCCGAGATAAGTTCAAGAGGTCAGAAGGTATATTTTACGGAAATGACACAAACACGAAAATGTTATCGAAATTAACTACAATTGGCTTAAGCGACGTGTGCAAGTTTGTGGAAGAGAATACAGGTAGACATTTATATGAGAAAGAAAAGCATTAGGAGAAATTTGAAAACCCACCACCTGAAATAAATAGACTTAGCATGCAAGCACGCGGTTGGTAAATCGAATGCAGCGTACTTACAAACGCTGCGCTGGTTCTGCTTATGTTCTCTGCAGGACGCGTCGTCGCTTTGGTAGTGGTCGCGAGTGGCCTCGCTCATGGCTCACTAGGCCTGTGTGACGCGCGCACTCGCGACGGCATGTGCTACAGCACCATGCGCTCGATATCGATGGAGTACAACACATCCGTGCTTGCCGCTTCTTCTCTGCATGTATGAGGTCATTCTCCCGCCTTCGTGATTAGATCGCGCCATGCAGGCCGATCAACCGCCTTCGATTCCCATGATTTGCAATCAAGATTAGAACTTGAGAGGCTCACTTTAATCATGTCCTGCTAACGTAACTTTGGTTTCCCCACATGCCGCTTCCCATTACTCAGCTGACCAGATAACAATTCTTTCGGTATCCGCGTCGAATCCATACGGCTCACATGACCGAGCCACTTCAGGTGTCTCAGTAAAAGTATGCAGTCCACTGCATACATCCCACTTTGTCGCAACACTTACGTGTCAGCAACTCTGTCGCCCTAATCGATGTGCAAACTTGGTCGCAGACACTGTTGATGGAAACGCCCTAGATATTGCACATCCCGCCAGTACATCGTCCACGTTTCACTGCCGTTTAGAAGAACGGACAGCACCATGGATTTGTACACCATCAGCTTCGTGCCAATGCTAAGCTGATGGTTGTTCCACACTCGGTACTCTAGCTTCCCGAATGCCGCTGCCGCCTTCGACACGCGAATACGCAACTCAACGTGTAGCTGCTGATCAGTCGACAACACACTCCCAAGGTAGCAGAAGCGGGAGGTCGTTTCCAATACTTCAGCACCAATGCTGATTCGCAGCACCTCCGGTGAAGGCTGAAAGAGAAAGACAGTTCTGCTTGTGTAGATGGTGAGCCCGAAATTGGCCGCTGTCGAAGCCAGAGCACTAGTCATGTGCTGCAACTCATGCGCGCTGTGTGCAAACAACGCACAGTAGTCAGCAAACAGCAACATACGGATAGTTGTCTCACAGACTAGAGTTCTCGCACTGAAACGACGGATGTTCAGCAACCCACCATCAATACGGTGCTCCACACGAACACCGTAACCAAAAGCCGCATCAAAAGCACAACACACCACTGCATGAAGATACATATTAAACAGGGCAGGAGTTAAGACACAGCCTCGCTTCACACCAGAGATAACCGAAAAGTCATCCGAGGTCTCTCCACTCTGCTGCACCCTCGCTCGCATACCACTGTGCAGACATTCAAGTAAACTTACAAACTTACGCGGGCAACCAAACTTACCCAACACCAGTCACAATGCCTCGCGGTTCACCGCATCAAACGCTTTGGTGAAATCAACAAAAAGCGAGTACAACAGCAGGTGTCGTTCTCTGCACTTCTCCTGCAACTGACGAGCCACAAACACCATATCTATAGTGCTGCGACCCGAACGGAATCCACATTGCTCTTCCGCCACGTTAGGTTCCACAACCTGACTGACGAGACGGTTGAGCATGATTCGGGCAATCACCTTGCCCACACAACTAAGCAAGTCGATGCCACGATAATTAGTGCAACATTGTTTGCTACCTTTACCCTTGTACAGTGGTAGCAAAAGGGCATCCTTCAGCTCAGCAGGCACCTCCTCAATCCATAAGCGTCGCACCAAGTGGTGCAGCGCAGTCAACAACGCGAGTCCGCAGTGTTGCAATACTTCAGACAGCATCCCGTCGGCCCCAGCACACTTGCCGTTTCGCAAAAGAGCAAGCGCTCTCTGCGTCTCATCCAGCGTCCGCGTGTCCGCCAGATTCGCCTTCACATCGTGCTGCTTCAGGCAGTTCATTGTAGGCCAGTCGATCTCTGAACGGTTGTTCAAGAGACAGTCAAATTAAATTCTCCGGATCTGCGTTGTGTCTGCACTCTGTGTGCAGGTAGCGCCTAAACTACCATCGATCAGCGTCCTCAGAGTCTCCAATTTGGGTCCATACACCGCCTTCAAGGAGTCAAAGAATTCCTTGTGTTGGTGACTTTCAGCGTAGCATTCCATCTGCTTCGCCTTCTCCGTCCACCATGCATTTTTTATGCGACGGAGCTCTCGGGTCAGTCGCCGTCGAAGTTTCCGAAACTGACGACTCTCACCCCAAGTCACTGGGGTCTCCCACATTGCATCAAATGCTGCATTCTTCCCCGACACCAATGCGCCAATCGTCGCATTGTTCTCATGAAACCAATCAGGCCGCTTACAGTTTGCGTGGCCGATGGTCTCCTCGGCAGCAGCTGCCACCTGGTCGCGAATGTGGTGCCACAGGTCGCCCACTGTGGCTATGCAGTCCACATCACACAGGCACGCAGCCATCGCCTTCTCCAGCTCAGTACGTTTCGTCCCAGTACCGAGGGAGAGAATGTTAACTTTACACTGATTCACGGCGGGAGTGCAATACATTGATTTACGAAAATATATGTACAGTTTGGTCCGCACCAATTTATGGTCAGTGCCACACTCAGCTCCACGCAGTACACGTGTCATGCGCACTGCACGCATATCACGAAGACGTACGATGACATAGTCGAGCAGGTGAGCGTGACCACTCCGTGGATGCGTCCAAGTTGCTATATCACTCGCGCTCAGTGCAAACCGAGTGTTCGTGATCGTCAGGCAGTGAGTGGCACACAGTGAGAGCAGCCTGTCACCGATCGCATTCGCTGAACCAATGCCATGCGAACCGATAACGTCTGCCCATACCGATGCATCACGTCCAACGCGCGCGTTGAAATCACCCAACAGAAATAGTCGGTCGCTCCTCGGTACAGATCGTATCACGGAGGATAGCCGAGTGTAGAAATCATCACGCGTGTCATCAGGATAACACATGGTCGGACCGTATGTGCTTATAAAAGTGGCAAAGTTACCTCTTCCGAGTCGTAGGCGGGCCAGTCATTAGTCGCGCGCTGATGCCTGCTGGTTCACCCACCAGCTGGCCATGGAGGCGATCGAATATTGCAAATCAGACCCCATGATCACGTGGTGCTGAAGCGGCGTTGCCCATCCAGTAGAATGTGTAGTCAGCACCTGCTTCATGCAACTTAGCTTGTTCAGCGAGCCGGGTTTCACTGAGTGCCGCAATATCGATGTGGTAGCGCCAGCTCCATCGTGACCAGTGCATTGCATCGCTCGGGGTGATCATTGGAGTGCCGGTCCAGTAGTATGCGCACTTTCCAGCACCCGATGCTGAGTGCTTTGCGCGCAGGCATACGATTGCATGGGTGGGCAATCGCACGCGAGATGGTCGTTGTGCTTCGGAGGTTTGCTTGAGGGGCTCCACCCGGAGCGTTTGGCTCAATAGCCTTACCCACAAAGCAGTGGGTGATTTGGAGGATTGCTTGAAAGACTCCGCCCGGAGCCTTTGGCTCAATAGCCTGACCCACAAGACAGTGGGGAGCAGATCCAGCTCGGGAATGTGGTTGCAGAGACAGATTGGGATCTGCTTGACTGCCGTCACACGCAGCCTTGGAGGTACTGGAACGATTTATATATGTTTAGCGACCGTAGTAGGATACACCTGCTGCCACGGCCAGACGCGTTTGGGTTTTGGCGGGTTTGCACCAATTAGACCAGGAGCTGCCTGGCTTGAGGCGGGCAGTAGCAAACCATTGAACACCCGGAGGTGTCCTCCCACCGTCAGAGGCAATGCGTGGCGCTCGTGCTCTATGCCAATCGAGCTGTGAGCTTATAACCCGTAGACCTGTTGTCTCCCATGGCTAGGTTTTACGGGAAGAGGGCCATCGACCACTTCCTAACCTCCGAAGAGGATGGACTAGGATACTGGCAGGGCGCCCACACCTGACGGGAGAACGACTCGGGTCCTCAGCCAAAGCCTTCGATTAAATGTAAACCCGAAAGGCAGCGGGTCTAGCACATGGTCAGTTTACTGACTCATGCGGATTAGTGTCCTGGGTCTTAGCAGAGAGAAGGGCGAAATCCAACTCTCACCCAGCGGTCGCCACGAGGAGGCGTCCAGGACATGAGCCAATGGCGCAATAGTAGCAGTAGTGGGTAGATCATCTGTCAGGATCTAGCCATCACCAGCCTCAGTGCACCATAGGTTCTCCCGCATACATGGCTATGAAAGTACTCGGACAAAACAGGGACTGTCTCTAATAGAAGGTGAGCTACAGATCGACGATGCGGTATGGTAACAACAGTAAGAGCCTACAGTATGGGGTTATATCAGAACTCGATAGTGCTGCATTCCTCAGAAAGTAACAGTTAAATGAATCGTGTGGTGTGTCAAGATGGGAGGGAACGCAAAGGCTAGAAGAGTTCAGATGCTAATGACGCCGAAATGAAAACAACCTTCATCCCTACCGGCATAGTACATCAAGAAAATGTCCATAAGCAACCGTAACCCCATGGCGGACTCGGTCTTCCAGGTTACAGTAGCCATGCAAAAGTGAAGTTAATGTGCCCGATCGGGCTGCGAGAAATACCGCTCTGAGCCTGGGCAACGCATTTCTGGTGCTTCCATGGTTATTCGCATCAAGTTAACACATGTATCCGTTGTTTTGCATCTAGCAGGAGCCTAACTGTTTCATGCCTACGGCACCGATAGGTAGTCAGTGGGCAAGATGAAGCGGACAACCTATTCAGTTAATGATGAAACGAAGTCCATGGGCCACCTACACGAGGCGATTGATCCTTGTGGTGACCTGAATAGAATACGAACGCCACTGCCAAGATAATGGGATCATAGTGCAAAAATGTAGCTCCGTAACTTGACTACGGTAGGGTCATTGGCATGCACTGCAACTCAAAGTGAACCGTACTATATACTGTCTTGATATTGAGATGAAGTGGGCGGGCTTGATCCGCGGTACAGGAACGCTTGAGTCACATCGCGGTCAAAGTGGAATGGCCCAAACGCCACTATACCAAAATAAAAAACGGTGAAAATACGCAGAGTACTCACCATTGTGCCTCGATAGTGCTTCACAGCACCTTTACCGGGCTGGTCCTCGGCCACCAAATCTGTGAAAATCCATCCAACTGGCTTCAATTCGAGTCGAGTGACCACTTCGGAAACGTGACTCGGAAGCAGAGAATCCAAAGGCACTGTGAGTTTCACGGACCGTGCGGTCGACTCCTGAGAAGGTGGGGTGAATAAGAGCGGATGGTATGTTACCTTTGACATTCGAGATAACAGTGCACTGTCCGACGGCCTAAATAATGGCGAGAACGATCCATAGCCGAGTAACAAGCAAACTGAATAAAGTGAGTTGGAGAAAGCCCGCACCAGAAAACGAAATACTAGGAGGCGTACCACAGCTAAAAAAAATACAGACTAAAATGGTGTTTCAAAATACTCAGGAGTGTGATCAAGCATGGAGGAGGTATTCACAAGTGGAATCCGCTAAACCAGACCCAAAACCATGAGCAGAAAGCGCTCGGAAAGGTGCGGAACGATATTTGAAGAAAAATGCCACCTAGTAATTGTTGTAGTTTGTAACTCCCAGTGAGAGAGCGGAAAAGATAAAAAGTTAGTTTTTGTCAGCCGCTCATTTATCTAATCCGTAAGCACTTACAGTAATCCAGAGGTAGAAGTCTGAACACTTAACGACAGAATGAAAGTCAAATACTTTGTTGGGAGTCCGGCGATGAGGATATGTGAAAATAGGACAAGAGGGATGGGGATAAAGGCACAATTCGGCAATCGAGCTATGACCCTGGCACAATGAAAAGGGCGCTCCAGAGTACGTCACTGAGGTTGACCGTCGATTATGTTTGTCAGTGTCGCAGATTGGAGTAAAAAAACCATCGCAAGGAGCTGGACCTCATCGTCCTACGATGGCGTGGTTGCTTTGGTGACCCGGTGGATGACGCTGAATGGCACGTCGAAATGTCCAGGAGTTACTGACAACAAGTACATTAATGTGGAAATCCAGATAAGCTCAGTCCTCCCACTAAAGATCCGCTAAAGGAAGAACAAGAGTATGAGTTGTAGGCTCAGCTTAATTGGTGTAGAGCGCAAATAGCACAGACTAGCTCCCGTGAGGACAGAGCGCAACCTTTGCCCAAAGCTTTGATACCACCTGCCCCAAACCAGATACCCTAACCAATAACGTGCAATTCCATTGAAGTTCACATTCGATCGACCCTGCATCAACTGTTGCTGTTTGTCTCCCCCACAAGCCCTAGCTAGAGGCGGACTATCTGTGTGTCCGAACTGGAAAGAAAGAGTTGCTTGAGACGACCCGGAAATGTCCATCGCAAGCGGCTAACGGGAGCTAAGCTAACTGAATAACCTCCAATGGTTTGTTAGGAGAGTTAACCGCTAGCTAGCTTGTTCCAAAACCGCAAGTGTCAAAAGCCAAATGGCCGGTTTCTTAATGCGCAAGATTAGAGGCGCCCAATTTTTGGAAAACGCCTAGTTTAATTAAAATGACTGATGACGTCCTATGTGGATGCAATGCGAGGCACCAACTTAGATTTCAGCGAGGAAGGCTCAAATGTCCAATCCAGAGCGACTCTGTAAGGCGTGGGAACGGACCAACCAGCATGCCTATATTAACGGTGGGATATTGATCCCGGATCAGGTGTGCAACTGACGAGTGCATAAGTACCGTCCCAGCTCATCTGCGTTACAAGCTTCGATGGACAGAAGACTAGCAAGTATAGCGCGTCACAGCATAATTGAGTGGATGGCACTCTCTCGGCGGTGGTTAAAATGCAAATGAGGAAAAGAACCCGTGAACCGCGCCACCATCAGTTTCCATGTAAGCGGTGACACAAATTGGCCAACATGCAACACATGATTAATGGAAGTGGAGTTCCGTGAAAATTAAAATAAGCTAGAAAGGAAGAAGAATCCGAAATAAGAAATAAATGGCCAAGGTGCTTACAGGTGGACAGGGAACTTGTACCGTGCAGTGCTGCATTAAACTACTATGCTGCTCCCATTCGAGTGAACCAAATGACCGCTTCGTCCAGTCTCCCACGTGCAGAAAGACTGAACGGAGGCCTGATCGATTATGACTCCGTGATTCATGATCAATAAATGGACGATGAAGAAGCTCATCGTCCGTAGACTAACAACACACGTGAGACGAATGCGAATCCAACGATAGAACTTCGAATGTGAAAGAGAAGTTTGACCTCTAAACATAGTGGTTCTAATGATTGAGCCAAAAGCGGACATCGACTCCAGGAATCTATTTGTAGCCCAAGACTCGCTCAATAACGTTAAGAATGAAGCTTAAACGGAGATAAGTGTTAGTAAGAGAAGTTCGATGGTGACATTATGTAGTGAATATGTGTAAGAGAAGAGCAAGCGCAGCTCTCTGTGCGACAATGTTGCACGTGCATAAGGCAACAGTGTACAATGAATCAAATAAATAGCTGCACTGAAATCCGACTTATTACGTAGCGACAGTCCTCAATGAGTGGTGAGCCCAGCTCGAACGGATTTGTGAGGGGACGTGAGTTCCTCATAACAGGGGAATTCACTTTAGCTTTTAACTGAATACTTTCTCCTAGTGGTATGCAGATTGGTCTAAACTTTTCCCGCCTAAGTGCAAGTGGGAACAGGTCAACATTAGTTTATTGACGTTAAGTCTATCAAGTAGCTCGATCATATGTCTCTGAAGTACAGATGTAAGTAAAAGACATGCGCGAATGAGACCCGGAACCGCATACGATGTGGCTTGTGTAAAGTAGGACCAATGGTGAGGCATTGGTAGAAGAGAGTAAGTGTAGAGGAAAGAAAGTCGGATAGGATAAAAAAGCTGGAAAGACTAAGGGATAAAAAGACCTATATTCCATAACCGCGACACAAAGTAAATAGACGCATGTGTCGTCGATCACCAGGATACTAAAGATGCATATGGGTCATGAACAGAGCACAGAGGGTCCAGTTGACTTTTAGAAGTCTGGACGGTTGTATCGCTCTGCATATCACGAATGATGACACGGTTTTCAGGAGGCACAATCAGTCACCAATGGATCGAGTGAACAAGGATGTCACTAATGATCTAATGAAGCTAGACAGGACCTTAGGGTAACCGAAATCCTGTTGGATAGCTTGAAAAGGTGATACTGCACAAGTAGAAGAGTGAGGATATACGTTGAGTATTTGTCCAAGGAGAAAAGGAATTCACTCATTATTGAAGCGACGCTAGGGGGACTAAGAAGGACGCTCAGAGTAAGATGCGAGCTAGAGAAAGAACTAATAGAAACGGACATGATATCGCCATGATTTTCACAAATCTTGTGACTTGTTGGAGAAAGGGTTGACAGTAAAATAACACTAAGTGGGAGACCCATCGCTGTGCCATATAGTACCCCGTCTTTAAGTGCTGGTGGGTTGAATTTGAGATCACCAGGTGTTTGGCTTCTCTTCAACAAGGTTGTTCGATGTATGCTGTCGTTTGTTCAGGAGTTGTGGAGTGAGTCTCACTGAGGCGCTAAGGTGACGCAGGAGATTATGACGTCAAAGAGAGCTGGTCACAATGCAGGACAAAAATTAAGGGAACTGCCTTTAAGATGAAATTGAGCACATCTATAGTAGTCAGACAGCTATCATACGTGTAAAGAAACACCAGACGGCCGTTTCACTTCTTCGGGAATAGTCGTCTGTGTTTGCGAATTTCTCCACTACTCTCTTGTAAGTGTTAAGCACATCAGACTGCATACAATACCACAGGTCAAACGAAAGCTCCAGTTCGGTGAATCGTTGCCAGGGAAACTACCTTGTCCATTGCGAGGAAGTAACGTATAAGTCGGTGGAGAGTGAGTTGCGCTATATGATACCCAGTAACCTGCCCATGTCGGTCGCCACTGTACACGCGTAGCCCAGTGGTCTTGTTCACTGACTCGTAACGGTAGGGTTGCGGGTTCCCCTTTATCCAATTTTCCCAGGGTTGACCAACTAAACAAATCAACTGATTGCCCACAAATCTCTTTGAAACGAACGGTGACGTATTCACGAGAGGTAGGCAAACCTAGGAAATAACAGTTACGATTTCGAATGACACATCGCGACCGGTTCACCATAAGTGCGCACTCGGGTCATCTCTTGAGTGCGTATAGCTTGCGACATTCATTTTGAGGCAGTGGTTAACGGCACAGGGCAAGGTAGGTAGCTGCGTTCACCTTTGCGGGATCTAATGTTTCATAGGGCAAAGAGAACGCGCACCATAAATGAATGCCAGAGAAGGCGGAAGAACCGTCCGCTACTGATGCTCTGGAACCACTTAAAGATGGGAGCAAGCAAAGTCATTTGAGACAGATGGAGTGTGGCGGTGCAACTACGTCCGTGTGATGTATCAATAAGCTACAGTTACATGCCTAGTTTGAATGAATACTGCTGTTGTGTATTTCGCGATCACTTTCAGTTTCTGAGATGCGCTTAGAGTGCACCAGAGCGGCAGTCGCATGACAGGGAATGGGGGACCAGAAAACGGATAGTGTGGGTTGTTGATTATTTGTAGAAATGTACTACACATGAGCAGACCCGTGGCGGAGCTGTACGCTATCGGCGCGTCCGCAGGTTGCGGACTGGGGGATGCTTTCCTTGTGGAGGTAACTGCGAATAAGTCTCGTCCGCCTAGCAGGCGAGAGGAATAAGCAGTCGCGGACAATCAGAGGCGGCGACTCGGAGCGTAAGGAGCTCTGGGCTGGTCACCTGGTTCTGCATCAAATACCACAAGAGTTCGTACAGCGCAGTGTCAAATCCAATATGACCGGTTATATGGTCACTGACCACACACTTTTGTACCCAGAGGCGAGTACCTATCGGAGGGCGGATGAACAACCTTGCTTGTCATCGGCTTCTGTGTGGACTGTAACCGAACATAAGGATGGCCAATGAACTACCTGGTTGTTAATGGTCTTCGTATACCAAAACCTGCGTGAATCGCCCAGCTGCCTTGAGGGTCAATTATTTAAGACTAAAAGCCCCAAGATGGGGTCCCTCTTCCTCGGTCTTGACAACCGGGAAGCTCACTGCCCGCACAAAACACGAGCCCTCATAACCTTTTCGCTAACTGTTTTACTCATGTGTTGTGGCGCTCTGCTAGTTGTTTATTGATCAGTGTTAAATACATACACATGAGCAGACGCGAAAGCCTAACAATGAGATGACGCAGTGCACATGGACGAAACTGAACAGAAGAACACCGTGAACAGGGGCACAAGCAAGTGTTAAAGTCGAATCGATCCCTGCCTCACAAAGCGACGGAGCTACATCACATTCGTTCATAGTAGCTTAGGGTCCATTGCAACGAACGCGATATTCAAGCACGTATGGGAGTTCAATGTGTACAAACGGCCACTCGCTGATTCCTTTTCGTCTCATGTACCAACAAGGCGGGAGAACTCAACGCTGCAAGCTACACCACACATGATCGAGTTCGGTTGCTGGGCATCGGGTAAGTCTGTGTTAACTTCGACCACATCGCATGTGTATATTCAGCAGAGAGGTGACTGCACATTTACGGAGGTTGGGTGAAGGTTGCGTGCCGAGTATATTGGGAATGCAAAAGTTTATGGCCGATTTACGCGGCCAAGAGTGTAACACTCTCAGTTGGTTCAAACGTCAATTTCCTATGTAGGTGGACGAGCAAAGAGTACGTAAAAATGTGGCTTGAGGCGTTTTTGTGAAATTGTTACAGAAGAGAGGTGCAGCCGCATTTATTCTACCTGTCGCATGGGTATAACACAACGATAAGGACGAAAGCATTATCTCGGATCAGTGCCGTAGTTTGGAGCGTTGTTCCATTGGGCGACAGCTAGTAGCACTTTTCCATGACTAATTCACAGAACATGGGTGTCCGTCCATCCCCAGTTATCTTCGCCTTTTCGCCTCTCAACGGGTCGATGCGAATGAAGCATTCGTACCGAGCAGACTCCCCATAAACGGACACATCCGGTCTGGTATGGATGTAAGCGAGGGGTATGCATTCCACCGTACTATTGATGTGTTGAAGCAAAACGATACCCAACGTCTCTTAAAGGGAGTTAGTTAATTGTTTCAGTGCCTTGTGCAGCCTCAGGACATAGTTCACAATTTGTTAAGATTGAAGCCCTGTGCTGGTTGGCTTCAGACCAGGGGAACCAAAATCAGTTCATATCTGCCGTTGCCCCGCATCCATTAAAATATGAACAAATTGGCTGACCAATTGATCGTCGCGGAAACCATTGTGGTTGTCAATAACGATTCATAAGCAAAATCAAGTACACTTAGTCGTTGAACATTCAGCTATCAAGACACCCATAGGTTGGTGGCTAACTGTCGGCCCGTGACCAAAAGGATGAGGCGTATGTCTTGTAATATAGAGGTCATCGACTCGAATTTGTGTAGGTGCGGGTGACTTTACGGTTGGTTGTGGTCGTGTCGCAGCTAAACGTAGCGTCGGTATGACGTGCTTGTGATACCTTCATGGTCTGTCAAGCGGGCAACTTGCGCAGTGCAATGCTTCCATGAGCAGCCTAAAGCGACTGCAGAGGAGTTACGCAAAATTCTGTTGTGTTTAAGGATCTTCATGCTTCTAAAATCTAGTTGATATGTAGTCAGACACTCAGCAGGACAGCAAAGATAACCACAAGTGCACACTTGCGAAATTTCTGGAACTAAACAGTACGCCCTGTGCTTACACATCGCCTGTTCGACGGGAAATTAGTTGGATCAAACAGTTAAGATTAAAGCAATATCGCCGACACTGGCAACTCTAAGGTAGGCAGGGTTAGCAAATCGCACTTGAGCATCTGCTCAACCCAGCAGACGATGATGAAGATACCACCTACATACAGAACTGAAAACACTTGCAGAAATAGCCGGAGTGTGGTTGGTAGAACAGCGCTGTGAATTATAATTCCAAGGTCTAACCACAGTAGCATTAGGTTAGGCGTTTCTAGCACCACTATCGAGTATCTAATCAAGTTCAATGCAATAGGGAACCGTCAAAAAGAGTTACGCATGGTGTATGGTACAGTACAAAACAAATTCATGCTTGCCCGTCCTACGTCATTATTACTCAATGCACAAAACAGGATGAACAGACAGCGGCGTGGCAACCCGGATCTCGAATCATGCAACATCAATTGGCTAAATAAAAAAGGTCTTGGGTCCGGCCCCTTCAGTGTTACTTAGTTGGTCACCCACGATGCCGCGGCGAGGTAACAAGAGTAGCCGCTTGAAAACAGACAAAGGCTCATGCAGTTGCGAGGGCAATTTATCCGCACCGTTCAGAGGAGGGGGTGGTACTGCAATGCAAAAGGCAGTAAAAAGAAGGCACACAAGGATTCCAAAACAATCCGGCTAGACAAATACTCATAAAAGTACGTTAAGCATCGAGTTAGGCTCACTTACGAAGATCAGAATATACTGGACAAACCCAAAAGGCATAAGAAATGTAAGCGACACTTGATCGCCTAAGTTACGACTCACTCTAGATAGGTTCATTTGAGGTTTTTACTATAAGGTGAGGCCACCGCGCGAGCCACTTCTTCATAGAAAAATGCGTCACAAAGTCGAAAGTATTGCTCAGAATGCTCAGTGTTGATGTTGCTGCTAGGTTATTTAATAGTGGTTGTACCATCCCCACTACAGTGCTCAGCATGGGTTTTCACATTCAAAGAACCGAATTTCCGTCAATCTACGTACGCCTAACAGAAGCGATAAAAATAACAGGGAGTAAAAGCCGAAGAGATGAGCACAAACCTGAGGTGGCTCGTAAATCGCAGCAACTACCGCCTTGATGGCCAGCGGAGGGGCACCAGCAGTGTCGAAGTGAGCATAGCGACCGAGCATTATTCCGATTCGTTGACGACCTGTCTGACGCCAAAAGTCCAGGAACGTTTCCATCAGCTGACCATTTTCGAACTGCACAAAATCAACATGGCGGTACGGCTGGATTTCAAGAGTGACTGGATTAGGTTGGCACTTGGTACAAATCCCATCTGGCCAGGGTGGATGCTCACGACAACCAGGACGAATGCGACAGCTCAAATTCTCTAAAGTGACAAATTTGCCTCTGCAACACAAAAAGGTACAAATACGTCCGGAGGTAGTGTTAATATATACGAAATAAAGACTTGTGCTTCATCTCATGCGAGAATACAAATGATCTGGATACTAATGGATGTATGGCCGAAATTGATTGGAATTCCACAGTAGGAACGAAAAATGTACGGCAAATTTGTCGCGAGGAGAATCATCCCAGAGTTTAGTATTAACTCACTATTGCGAGACGATAACGCAACTAGAACAGACCGGTACGTGGAGAAGCAGAATTGGCTTGCAAGTTGCTGGAGTTCAGATACGTAGTAGGCTGGTGGTTCTACACTTAGTGAGTATGGGTTTGTGAGAGGGTTGGGTCCGTGAAAAATTCAAGGAGATACAGGTGGTGCGAGCGCTGCGAATACACCCGTACAAAGTCCCTAAGAGTCACAGTCAGCAGGCGAAACCTCAAATCGCTTAAATATTGTGATCATAGTGGAGGGGAAGGATGAACGATGGATAACTACCAATGGTAACGGCTTGCTACATGGGTGAGACGGTACAGCGAAATAACAGACCCGTGCATACATAGTCTAGGGCATTAACTCGGAATTAACCAACTAGGAGTGATAATGAAGGCAAGGAATAGGACTATTTTTGAACTATTTTGGAGAGGGTGAAACAGAACGAGACAAAACTCCCTTTAAGAAAACCGGATAAGAATGGACTCCGGATGCACAAACTGGGTGCAATACGAAGCTCGAACGGGTGAGATAGCGTGATCAATCAAGTAAGGTAGGTTATATCACAGTCTACGTACATATGCGGGTTGGGGGCAAGAATCGATCGCATATCCTGGGTAGCTTATGCGTACAAAGCGGTTGCGCTATGTGATGGATCGATGAGGTCAAGGGTGTGCAATGAAAAGACGTTCACTCAATCAACAGAATTCGCTCTGGTGCGGCTCGTGATGCCATTGGAGATCAGTGGGAGACAGAGCGGAACAAGGTTCACGACTGTTTGTCCAGAAAAGGACGCGTCTGTACAAAATACGAACGCGTGACGCCGAGTTAGTGTGTTAAAATATCTCATTAAGTCGACTGCATGGTTACTTGTCAACGGAGGATACAGTACGAGGATAACCAGGACCTCTAATGATAAGCACACGAACGGTACTTTCAAGGCACGGTACATGGTTTAGTCCGTCTGTGATATTTGTGTAGGCAGGTATGATAAACAAGAAGAGATGGGAACGGTGATGAGAACGAACTACATTCCCACCCGCATTAGTTGGAATGGGTGCGATCAGCTGGATTCATTCCAGTAACCCGAAGAGGGTTGGTGGCGTGTTTAGGTGGCAGACAGACGGGTCGGAAGGCAGCGTAACAAGTAAGCCAGTTCCAACTCTTCCAACACACTGTCGCTCGCTCGTCTCTGAGTTGTCCACGAAGAGTGTGAGCGTGGGCCAGAGAAATCGGATGACGTACTTTCTGGCGCACAGCAGTGTCTTCAGTGCCTTGCTGCAGTCGATTTCTAATCATGCACAAATGATGGGCGACCTTAGTTGCTCCAGTGGGATGTTCAAGTAAGTGTACGGAAATTTGAACAGTTGATCGGACAATTACATGATTAACGCCAAGCAAACTTGTCGCGTACCGCGACAGTAGTGCGATCGAAAAATACGCGAAAGGAACACGCGATTGGCAATCGATAACCAAGTAGCAGACTCGCAAATTACCTTGCTCTAACTACCCTAAGCTCTATATTCACATGGGAAAACACCTGGACAGGCTATTCCAAGAGGGGCCCAAAAACATATAAACACCAATGTTTTCATAACTAGGCTTTGGCCTTAACCATCTGTCAGGATGTTAATACATGAAACGCATATCCCAATACTCCACCTATGCACGTCACCCATGCAAGAGCATGGATTCCTCGGTACAAATTGATCTGTGCCGCTATAGACACAGTTTTTCTCATCAAGAGAAATATACGTATTATTATTATCATTATTATTATAAGTTGTTTCTCAAGAAATCAGATTGGTCGATTTGAGCGATTATGCATATGGTACTTCCAGTGTCTTTTAAAAATTTTTTCGTGTTTTGTGTTACAAGCAGCTTCTCACGCGTTGCTCCGATGTGCCGAAAAGACTGAGAACAGAGGGAACATAGGAAGCAAGAATCGCTTAGCCTGATACAGCAGAGCAGTGCAAGTAAGGGGCCTAATATTTTGGGTCACAAGCTGCAAGGAAAATAAATCGCCACTAAAGGCAGCACTGAAAATTACAGAACAAGTAAATAACGCCCCACTGTTTATACAGTAACAGTGGAAATGGATGTCCAATTCTGAGTGTCCCATTCGAAGAACGCATTCCAAAGTGGTTACATACGGGTGGGATTGAAAAGCAGGGCTACCTGGGCAGACACTAGGTATGTAATGAACAGCGGTGACCAAATAAACACGAAAGCAACATGCAAGATCATCATGTCCAATTGAAATCTCACATCCCCAAATCCATGGAGGCCGTTGCCATCGATTGACGACGCCCGTAGCTTCGCGTAGAAAAAAAGCTGACCAGGACATTGTACCTAACATGGTGGCGGAAAGGCATCAATCGGCCACCAGTCGAGTTTAGGTGACCTTATCGCTTTTGACTGCATGTGTGTAATCGATGGGAACGCTCGAAATGATGCTGTCATCTCATAAATGACCAAACGGACTTATGACGAATTCCTCAACCAAAGTGCCTATGTCATATTAGGAACCTATCGCTGCAAAAAGCTAGCTGCTGTGTGGTTTTGATTGCCCTGCGTCATGCTCGATTCCATCCTACATGTAACAGTAACAGATACAGTTTGAAAAAGTGAAACGATTAGGATACGTTTACAAACGCGCCACAGTTACCGTTTGCGATCCATGTTTTCTATAGTCTAGAGGCAAATACAAGGCGGATTGTATGAACTACAGCTGGGAAGGCGAAATGGACCAAGGGCGCCCGCGATGGTGTGGGTGACTTCTCGCAGCCAAGTCAACGACTGCACTCCTGGAGACCAAATTAGGAAAGACTCTCGTTGGTGAGTAGGCATACGCAGCACCATCCGAGGTAATGCAACTCCTTCTCCGTTATTTGCTGACCTAACAAAATTGATCTTCGCCGCTGCCATGCTGGTGCCCATCGACAAGAACAGAGATCAGCAGACTACGGTGGACAATGAATTGAAGGCCCAGCGATCTATAGAGCAGTCTCACTCCCGCGGAGCGGAATAGCCTGTGGCCCTGTGCACAGTGCTTTTCAGACCAGTATAACCCACATTCTGATGTCAAAGATGTTGCGGATCTACGAAGACACTCTTAGCGTTTGCAACAAGCATCAGCAACGCACGTCTGTTGTAGCTAATGCATCTGCCAACAGGCATGAATTAACTAATTATCGTCGGTTGTTTGTGGCCACGATTCCAATGGTTAGTAAGTGATGGGTAGCCATGCGATAATAATTCGCACTTTAAAGTTGCAAAGTGCATGGTGTCGGTTTGGAAGTTATCGATGGCTGAAGATGCCGTTTCCTGATCGACACATTGCAAAACGATGTCGATCGTATAATTCAAACAATCCAACTTTCTACCGCGGAGAGATACGAAGTTTGCACCGTGATTGTTCGCAGAGAATACCTTCTGGTGGAAACAGCGACAAAATTGGATGGAATGGAAACACGGAAAAGTTATAGCGGCTGATGATCCACCGCAGATCTTGATGCGTAAGAAGTAATCAAACAGATGACATGTAAAAGCATCAGCTAATGTAAAAGAACTCTTATCTAGATACATGGCGAAAATAAGGAAGAGGTTGACTGAATCGAATGAGCCTTGCCTAGTTGTATGAGAGATGATCCTTTGCTACCTTTCGTAGAGCAAAAATATGGCCTATACAATCCCATCAAGGATGGAAATCTGTCTGTTTTCTTATCCGGGATTCTTCACGCAGTAGGTAGGTAGACCAGAATGAAAGCCGCTAATTTCAACAGTACCGGTGTCAATCGAATGCCCCAAATGGCTAGCACAAATGCCGTTGTCGACTATCTTGAATATTACCAACATGATCGATTCTTCCCAGTTGGTTAAGGAAGTCTTCTTACGTGTTCGAGCACAATTTGAGTTGGTTTACTGCACAGGGCCTTATCATCATATTCAAACGGCATGGACAGGAGGGAACCTAGGCCAGTAGCGAGGGAAGAGTTGAACATAACACCATACTTAAATTTCCATAAATCAATTTGCCACGGTTCAACCTGGGCCACCTGACTAAGAGCTGCTCGGAGGAAGGAGGTCAAATGATCCATCCCTATAAGTGAATTGGAACGGCAACGAAATCACGTGTTGTTTCATTGATGACTGAGCTCATAGGAGTAGCGGCGCCGGTCAGCTGGAAAAGTATGTGGAAGCCCCACGCCGCTCCTGTCTCCTTCAGCTGCTGCACCACATATGAGCCCTCGCAGGCTCAGTTTTAACCCGCGCCTGATAGTCCGTTTGGTCGCGTTGTGCTAAACACCAGCAGGGAATCCAGTTCCGGATACAAACGGTCCCAGGGACACTTACGAAATCCAGTGTCTAGTATGATAACGACTGACAATACGGAATGTAGAAGCTCTCTCGTTAAATGTGGCGGCGGAAACACCATTCCAGTGGACCATATGTAGGACCATATCTGAGTGGGCATTATTGTGCGATAGAGTGTGCTAGGTTCACAGAGTAAGGTGTGTCGTCCGACAACAGTCGATTGGAGAAAATGCAGCAAGCACAAAACAAAAGCGATTGGCGTCATTCTGCACGCAAATCACAGTGGACGTTGTCAACTAGGATGTGCATGCGGGGCTCTGGCTCTGGATATGCAGCAGGATGATCAATTCAATATCGCCAAATGTGTGCAACTAGCCACCGCTATTATGGCAACTTAATGGGAATCATGAATCCTGATCTTCAAAACACAACGTAAGTTAGTTTTTAGAGCATGCAATTTACGTTCAACTGTTAT